GATAATCAGAGAATATGCAAATTACCTTTTGAAGAGGAAATAAAAGCTGCAGTGTGGTCCCTTGATCCAGGAAGTGCTCCAGGACCAGATGGCTTCAATGGAACATTCTTCAGATCCTGCTGGAATATTATCAAAGTGGATGTTATTAGTGCCACTCAGGAATTCTTTACTGGTATACCTATTCCCAAGGCATATGGAAGCACCTTTATAACCCTTATCCCCAAGAATGAAAAACCTAAAGTATTTGGTGACTACAGACCAATTTCATTGTCCACTTTCATGAGCAAAATAAATACAAGGATACTGGCTGATAGAATTCAAGCTCTACTCCCTAAAATTATATCTCCTGAGCAAACAGGTTTCCAAAAAGGTATGGGGGTGGAGAAACAAATTCTATTGGTTGAGGAAATGGTACACAAAATTGACACCAAGGTCAGAGGAGGCAACATCATTGTTAAGATTGACATGGCTAAAGCTTTTGACAACCTGGAATGGCAGTATCTTCAGGGGGTACTTAACAAGCTGGGCTTCTCAACTCATGCCCAGAATCTGCTTATGGCTAACCTTAAATCCACTTTTCTCTCCATTTTGATTAATGGCAGCCCCAAGGGATACTTCCAGATGAAGAGAGGAGTTAAACAGGGTGACCCCCTATCCCCACTCCTCTTTATCATTGCTGGAGAGGGTCTTTCTAGAGCTCTCAATTTATCTATGAAGTCATCCTACATCACCAACTACAACACTGGAAGAGATATGATGATAAGCCATCTTGCTTTCGCAGATGACATTATCATTTTCTGTAATGGAGAGTGTAAAAATATCTATAAACTCAAACATATTCTCAATATGTACATGGAGGCCTCTGGACAGCAGATTAACTATGAAAAGAGTAAATTCTACTGTGGGAACAAACTAGGCAGGTTAGCCATTAGCAAGATTGAAGGAATCCTGGGAATGAAACATGACAAGCTTCCTTTCAAATATCTTGGAGCACCAATTTGCAAGGGAAAGTTAAAGAAAACTGATTGTGGTGAGCTTTTCAAACACTTTAATAAGTACATTGATAGTTGGTATAGCAAGACTCTTAACCAGAGTGGTAGACTTATTCTCATAAAGCATGTGCTTTCATCCATTCCACTACACCTTATCGCTGCACACACTCTCCCAAAGTCTGTCATTACTAAACTTCATTCAATGATGGCAAATTTTTTTTGGGGCACCTCAAGTGGGAACAACAAGTATCATTGGACTAAGTGGGAAGATATATGCAAGCCAAAAGAAGAGGGTGGACTGGGAGTTAGAGACATAAGGGACATCCAGGATGCATACTCTATAAAGATGTGGTGGAATTTCAGATTCCATAACAACAAGTGGGCCCAGTTCATGAGGAAAAAGTATAGCATAAATTGCTTTGAGGAAAAGATCACAGACTCTCCAATCAGGAAAAGAATCTGCAGAATACATTCAAAGGCTGAGGAATTCTTGGGGGACATCACACCAGATCAAGAGGATGAAGAAGAGATGGAGGCAGTACCTATCACAATTAAACAGGCCTATGACCACTGTAGGATACATACCAATATGCAACTGAGCGACTCTTTCATCTGGGAAAAACTACAACTCCCAAAAATTCAAATGTTCCTATGGAAAGTGAAGAACAATATCCTCCCATTCCCAGATACTATGAACAGATTCAGGACCAGCTTCCCATCTCAGTGCCCATTCTGTAAGAAGGAAGAAGCCACTATGGACCATTGTCTTTTACAATGTTCTAAGATACAAAATATATGGGCAGAAATGGCAAATATTTGCGAAGGACCTAAACTACAACAGGGAATAGGACTAAGACAGCACATTCTAGAGTGGAATTTGAGATCAACACATAATTCCTATGTGGGAAACCTAAGGCTAGTCGCTCCAGGTATAATTGCGTGGTCAATTTGGAAGCAATTTGCTTCAATATATTTTGGAGGAGAGATGGAGAGCTATAGGGAGATAAACAACAACATCAAGCTTACCGTTAATCTTTGGTGCTAGAAATACCGGAGAAAGGGGTGGATGATCAAGGAAAATGAGCTCAGCGAGTGGGGATTTCAACCTTTCGCCCTTGCAGGAGCTCTGATTTGCCGTCAAGCTGGGAAATAGGTTAACTCCAATTTCGGTTATGTGTATGGTTTGCGCCTTGCCTACTTAGCCTAGGGTTCTTTTACTTTGTTTATGTTGTTGGATTGTTATTTTACTTTCGGGGCGTCGGTCTAGTCCTCCCCGAACGTGTTGTATCGTTTCCCCCTTTTACCTTCTTAATAAACTCGGTAAGCGTTCCCCGGCGCTACCACACCGATTTTGGTGACTAATACCGGGATTTTATATATATATATATATATATATATATATATATATATATATATATATATATATATATATATATATATATATATATATATATATATATATATATATATATATATATATATATATATATATATATATATATATATATTGAAAAGAGGATTTATTAGATGTAAAAAAACAGGAACAGAGGTGGGGGTGGCCAGGTACCCCTACAAAACAGGCCGAAACAACCCAAAGGAAACATTCAAAGAGAAAAGTACAAAAGAAAACAAATCAAAATCAGACAGCTAAGGTCCCTGTAGAACTGTGATGGGCTATGCTGCAGATTGTAAAAGATACGAAGTATCAAAATCCCTCAAGTGTGTACTCCACTGCACACATCTGCAGCACAAGAAGATGCTAGCATGTGATTATCCAAGATGAGCTTCCATTCCAATTTATTGGATAATCCATTAAAGTGATCCATCTTTCCTTGTGAAGGAGATTAGGCCCCTGAACAAAAACCTTATAGACCTAGACAAAACTAGAAAGGTTAACCAGATGTAGATTGGCAGGGAGTCTACCCCAACTTGCAGATAATCAAATAACAAGAAACCCCAGAAGTACCCAAACAAGCTCTAATTTGACCCTAAAACCAGACTAGCAAAGCAGAACAAAACGTGTCCCTAGTTAACCCAAGTTCAATAGACCCAAAAAAGAACGAAGAACAAACTTATGCACTCCCTTAATTTCTCTAATTCCAAAATGAAGTAAAGTCTAACCCCTTGTAAGTCATCAACCAAAACTGAAACCTCAAAGGAGATTAGAGCAGACCCTGGTTGTCTCCCCAAAGTGGACTAAAATTTTATTCATTGATGTTCTCCCCCGCATGGTAAGCTGCGACAACCTTTTCATCAACATTTGAGTAAGCCAAAAAAATCGGGAGTTTAGTCCCTTCTATGTGTACCAGGTCCACAATCTGCATACTTTTCACTGCCTCTCTAGTAGCCTTGATAGTCTTCCCCTCTTGATTCAATAGCATTCCCTTTTGGAGTTTATCCAGTAAAGATTTCTGTGCAAGCGCCTCTTGCAATTGGCTTTCCACTGCCTTAAAAATAGCTTCAAAATAAGCCTTGAAGACAGGTTGAAATAACTTTTCAGCATCCAAAACTTCATCCCTGTTTACATCTAAATCCTCCATGCTATCTTTCTGTTCATTTTCTGTCTTGCTCAAGTCCCTAGTTGCCCTTTTGGTGTCCTGTTCTTTTTCCATTAAAGAGTCAATAATTGACGCATTTCCAGTTCCCTTATATATATATATATATATATATATATATATATATATATATATATATATATATATATATATATATATATATATATATAGTTAGAGGATTCATACCGGGGTACATTGCAACACGACTAGTCTACGGACCTACGTACAGTGTAGAGTACACAGTTTCCAGCAACTACTACAAGTATTTCGAGATGAATCATGTTGTAGTAGCTTTCAACATACTTCCTAAAGAAGTTGATACTATGGAAAGTTTGTTCACTTTGATCTCATTGGCATCTGAAGGGTTGCACAGTAAACCCATTGGTCTCTTAAATATTGATGGTTATTTCAATAACCTAATCAAATTTCTAGATGATATGGTGATCTGAGGTAGAACTTCATGGATTTGAGTCAGAGGAAACTTTTCATTTCTTCTTTCTTCGTTGATGAACTTTTAGACTGTAACACCCTAATCCGTCCAGGTCTGCAGCCCCTTCCGGACTAAAGTATTAACTTGGTAATCGTAAAAATTTAAAACTTTTCAAACACACTTTATTAATCCCAATAATTTTTCATAACATATACAGTACGGAGTATTCAACAATATTGCGGAAGCGAATTTAATTTTGACATATCATAAATCATTTCAAACTTGTCACATCCATCCCGACAATCTCGCCCCATCTGCTGCCAGGATCACAGTGTTCTTTCTGTTGTACCTGCGTGTAGCAAATAAAACACACTACACGCTCAGCGGTAAAGCTGAGTAAGCATATCTAATACGTCGAACATTCATATAAACTGAATCTAAATTCATAATCAAATCATTTGATATCATGCACACAATGTTCATTTAAGACATTCATAGTTTTGGTATTGTTCAGTTCATATCAACACATTTTATTCAATTCAGATA